CATTATACTCCCACGTTTTTCGGGAATTCAGGCACCGTATAGAGAATCTGTTGTCACCTCATGTGTATGAGCCAGCACAAGGATGTTTACATGCAGGTCTTTTTCTGATTGTTGCTGTTTCTCAGCTACGAGCACTGAAGATTCTGTCTGAGGGGAATGCCAGTTATTAGGTATTGAGGAGTATATTCGACTTGCACGCTAGCAAAGCTTCGAACTTTGCTCGAGCTAATATAAACGCCATACATCGTGGAGAATCTGCAGCCTACTGTTCCCCCCGTGGTTGTTCTCCGCTGTCTGCGATGCCTGACGATTCAGGGAATGCTACTTTGTGAATTGCGCTATACGCGTTGTATGCATAGTCCATCATTTGCTTCAGGCCCCTCCTTTGGGTGTTTTATCCTTTATCTTACGAAATGCTTCCCTTCCGTGCATTGCTCTTTTAGGGCTTTTTGATACATTAAGGTGCCGTTTATGGTTGGAACGAAGTGAGTTGAGTGCCTTCAGGCCAAAGAGTCTGCACGTGGTGTTATGTTGTTACCTCATCAGAACCCCTACCGCGCGCTTTTTGTGCGTGTTCGAGGATCGAAGCATTTAAATTCGCATTTCAGCTTATTGCATTCACCTTCGATCCACAATGTCCAATGCAAGCCTTCTGGTGTTGGAAACAGCGGAAGTAGTTTCCAACGACTGGACATTTGAAATGAAGGCATAGATTCCGCTGCATGTTCGCGCATGCAAAACNAAGTAGTTTCCAACGACTGGACATTTGAAATGAAGGCATAGATTCCGCTGCATGTTCGCGCATGCAAAACTAACACTCTCGCTTTATTATTTTATACATGCAGAACGCTTTTGAAATTGATTACATTTCTGGATGTCCGTTGTCGGTCGGTAGTGGCAGAGCTGCTTTGGTCCGTGTTGCATTCACCGTGAGGCCGCTTGCATGCTCCCACTGGCACGCCTGTATAAGAGCTCGGCCTAAGCGCACATGCCGTGAGGAGCCTTATGTAGCTTGGTTAGATTAGTGCGTCAAGCCTAAAGAAGCTCTACGGCCTCGTATGCTCCTTGAGGTCGCGCTTGGCTTCCTCGCTCCAGCCAGGGATTAGGGTAACCAGGTTGCTTGCTTTCCCTTAGGCGAGTTCATAAACTGATGAAGAAATATCTGCCATGCTGGGTAGAGCATATGCATAGTGTACTACTTCTTGCGTCGTCTGCGGTTGTGCATGAGTATCTCGCGTTGCTTCGAATCTGAGATTTGGGCAGAAAGGAAAAGAAACAACCATGACAACCTGCTCTATATGATCTAGCGCTTGGCACGTGGGGCGTTACGCTCGCAGTCGCCCGCCGATAGTCCTGGGATAATCAGCTACGTAGGTTCCGGCACTGGCTGCTGCGAAGCTTTCACAAGTGTC